AGAGGGGGGGTGACTAAGATCTGAAAACACAAAAGGATTAGGCCTGCGAAGGTATATGTTGATACGGTGGGTCAAAAAAAAAATGCACAAAGAGAGCAAGCTCCTGGAAACACATGAGACAAACAAACATTAGTTAACCTTGACAAGTAAACAACAAAAACATCGCAGTCGAGAAAAATACAAAGGACACAGGAACGAATAAGGTGATATCTAGTTCTTCCTGTCAGAGAAAAACAAGCAAAAGGTGCGCATGCTACGGAAATTAAACACACACAGACACGTGCGCACGCACACATGCACACACAGTTTTGCAAGAGAAGATCTTTCCTTCTCATTAAAATTCGGGGTGAATCAACACTTTTATGAGTGACAAAAGAAAATAAACACCAAAAGGCTAAAAACTAAATTTTTCTATTAAAAAAAAATACTAAAAAGCACGAAAGGGAAATTTAGGAAATCACCCGGGAGGAGAAGATAGCAAGGAGAAACACAAATCTGCCATGTTTTGTCCAACAAACATCTAGCCTGTGGCCGGCTGGATGGGGCTTGTTATACCTACGGGCACCTCGCAGAGGCTGCAGAAATGCTTGCTTGAATGTACACGTGCACATGCACATTTCTATACATTTTTTAAATGTATATGCCCTATGCATACAAAACAGAGAGATGTGTATGCATCACTCAATATAAATGTGAGCGCGGTGTACATACATGAAAGCTGTGTATAGATTAGGATTTTAATCACTCACGTCATAAATGGCAAAAAATCTAAACTTAAAACAAGCTACTTCGAAAGACAAAATGCAGCAACTGCCAATGTGTGGCCAGAAATCCCCTTAATTTACATGATAAGGGATGGTTTAGTGCAACATAAAGAGCTGCCTAGACCTTTAAAAAGCAAACAGTGAAAACTTTCTTTCAAGAAAAGAGGAAAAATATCCCATGGAGTCAGCTGTTGGCAAAACTGCACTCTGCTCACTTGGGGACATCCGCCTGGATGAGACCAAGGTGCTGTCTGTCCTTTGATGCAGGGACTCCCCTTCTCTTTAGGGCAGGTTCCAGCCACAGTGTTTGTTGGAAGTTTGGGGAGGAACACAAAGGGGAAGGGGCAGCTCTTGAAACCGCAAACTGTCTACAAAGTATCGACAGCTTCTACCAGGTGACAGCCACTGTCCTTGCAGCATATCAGATGCTGAATTACATCGCTAAGGGGTAGACACTCTCCCTCATTAACAGCATCACTTTCTTAAGACAATTAGGTTTGCTCCTGGCTAAATGGCTGTCCCTGACAAGGGCAATGTGCCTGGATCTATGGGACAAGTAGAATACACCAAGAATTATGCAGAAAAATCACCCTCCTGTTTGGATTTACTTAGCCTGATTGTAACATTAAGGCTTGCTTCTAGTGCAGAACACAGTCTAAAATTTGAAGCTTTAAGGAAATGTATCATGGAAAATATTAATCATCCAAATCAACCTCATAATAAAGATTATTATTTTTTTTTTACCAGTCCGCCGAGGATGAAGAAGACCATGAAGAGGCGGCCAAGCGTGGTTTTTGCATAAACATCCCCATAGCCAACGGTGGACATTGTAACCATGAGTAAATAGACACATTCCCAGTAGGTGAGAGCCTGGTTGTTTTGGAAATTTTCCCATGGGTCCCCTGAATTCTCCACCTAAAGCAAATGGGACAGGGGAGAAAAAAGGAAAACATGCTATTGAAGCATATACATACAATCAACCCGGAAGCTCGGCACTCCCGCAGGGCCACTTGCTAACACACATCGCTCTCCACATGAGCTGTGTGGTTCTCGGGCTGAGTTCTCTGAGTCAGGATGCGGAGCTCCTGAGCAGGACACACAGAAAGTGGAGAAGTGGCCGCAGAAAATGTCTTCCTGGCTGATTGGGACAGTGTGGGAAAGCAAGAAGGGAAGTATCTCTAGGCCATTTTTCTTCTTCTGGTAAAATGTCTAAAGCCAGCTAATATTCAGGGCATTGCCTGTGGCCAAGTTTTAGAGCACTCCAGAGAGCCCTTCCCTGACCTTCTTCAAAGGGTTTCCAAGGCCCAGATGGCCTGGCTCTGCCTCTCCCGCAGAAATCCTAAACCCTTCCACAGGGGGCTGCCTCCTTCCCTGAGTTAGACCAAAGAGGTGCCTGATGGGCCCTGCTTCTTCAGATTCAAACAGCATCTCTGGGATCTGGCCCTGCTCTCCCTCCTTTGCAAATTGCCAATGGTGGTCCTAGCCTTGAGGCTGCCGGAATCTTCCCAGGGGCATGGAAACTGAGCTCATGAGAACAGCTGGCACTGGCACAGCCCGTTAGACCAAGAGCTGGCAAACGTTTTCAGCTTTGTGGGCCACACAGGTCCTGGTCAACTCTGTAGAGGCAAAACTTCAAATAATGGGTGTGGCTGCATTTGGCGAGTTGGAGAGCTTTGGCCGAGGATTGGTTTGCCCACTTTCCTGTCCTCTCATCATATTTGACCTGCCAACAAGAACAGGAGGTAGGCAGGAAGGGTACTTTAGAGACTCTCAGGAGAGAGGGAGCTGCAGGTCAATTCTACTCAAATGTGCCGGTGATCCACCTGCAGGGCCTGTAGGCAGCAGGCCCCAGGCCTCCAGCTCTGCCTCTGCAAAATGTTGGCCTCCTTCACACATCAGTTTATCCTCAATGTGCCATTTTCACAAAAGTTTCCTGGTGAATCAGAAGGGACTTCACTAATATTAATAGTAAGGTGGGGTCATCGTCTTATTAAAGACAACTGTCTCCTCCACATAAGTGATTTGGGTGCTGGGTGCTTGGTTACAGCAAGAATTAGGGTGATTAAGGGTGATTTTGTCCAAGAATCCCAACAGCATAAAGGGCTGGGTAGGAGACCCTAGATCTGGTGACCACATGAGCCCCGGCCCCCCACTCGCTGCCATCCCAGACCTGTCTTCCTTTGGGTGATAATTACCTAAATCCCAAGTGTGGGTAGTTAAACACATCCTTCAATCCCTTATGCAAATAGAGGCTCAGCTACTGGTGGTCAAAGTCTCATAGCTAGACGAGGTTCCCTCTAGTTGTAACATTCTAGGTTTGTATGAAACACACTTCCCTCAATGGCTGTGCTCTCTAAAAGCAAGGGACAAGTCTGCCTTGGTGAGGTGCGACAGCCTTGACTTAATATGAGGATTTCAAAGAGTCATTCATAAAGAATTAACATTTTTGAGGTACCAAATAAACTGACAAGTAATCAGGCAAAAGACTCAAAGGTGGCTTTTTGTAAGGGTGGAGCAGAGAGAAATTGAGGGATGAATTCGTTGTTTGCCAAAAGGTATGGGTCAAACTTACAACCTTGTCCCCAGCTCTTTTCCAGGTGTTTGCTTAGGAAGCACTGCCATCTTGTGGCGTACTGTAGTTATTGCAGACAGAAAGAAAATCTACCAAAGACCCCACTGCAATACCAATGAGGAATGAGTGGAAAAACGCAGGTTAATAGTGCAAACATTACTCACCATTTGGAACTAGTTTGGGGTAAAAAGGTTGGAAACCCAGACAATTGTGTGGTTGCTTCCCATTTTCCTGTCTACAACCGAGGTGAAGTTTCTTTCCAGCAACATACATTGTAGGTAATAAAATGACTCAGAGAGGGTCTTGCTGCAGGCAAGCGAGAGCAGAAGGGTCTTCGAGGTTACTCACCAAATGGATGAATCCGGCTGCAGTCAGCCATGTGCTGATAAATATGGAGAGCAGATTCACCAGCTTGATGGAATTACTGTGCAAGAGACAACAAGCAACATTCCAGGTTACCAAGGAAAGGCCCTGCTGGGGCTGCCTTACAGGGTAAAAGCATCCACTTGGGGGGAGAGGCCGCTGCTTCTAACCCCCAACCATTTCTCCATGATAAGGGAATTCTGGACGGTGGCGGAAGCAGCTGGGATGAAGGTTAGGACAGAGCCTATAGGAATGAATTTAACTTTGGTAAAAATTAACTTTTAGTTTAAAAATTCTTCAAAGCTACAGAAAAGTGGAAAGAACAGTATAATGAACACTTGCATGCTCTTCATTTAGACTGATCAATTACTAACATTTCACCACAGGTATTTTATCACCCTCCACACTTTCTCTCTTAATCCCCTACCTTTTACCTTCTCTTCTTCGTGTGTGTGTGTGTGTGTGTGTGTGTGTGTGTGTCTGTGCATATGCGTATTTTTTTTTTTTTTTGGCTAAACCATTTACCAATAAATCAGAGACATCATGACACAAGCCCTAAATATTCAGCACTCAACTCCTAAGAAGAAGGGCATTGCACAGCATAATCGCAATACCATTTCACACCTGAGAAAATTAAAATGTAAAAATTCAGCAATGCTATTTAGTATGCAGACCTTATTTAAATGTCTCCACTTGCCCCAGAATTATGTTTATTGACTTTTTTCCCCCAGACGCAGGTTTCATGCATTGCATTTGGCTGCTGGTGGCTTAAATCCGAGGAAACAAGGACAGAGTCAATATTTTGGGCTTTATCGGCCATATAGACGTCACAAATACTCAACTCTGCACTGTGGCTTCAGAGCAGCTTTTGGACAACAGGTACAAGAATAGATAGGGCTTTGTTCCAATAAAACTTTATTTACAGAAACAGGCAGCAGGTAGCAGAAGCTACAGTATGCTAATCCCAGCTTCAGTCTCTTTCAATATATAAATGACACCACTCCTTTGCCCATTTTTGTTTTTAATTACATTAAATTTTGTGTAAACCCAGGTTGTCTTCTAAAATGTCCCATATTCTGGATCCTGTTTATTTTATTTTTTTTGAGACAGAATCTTACTCTGTCACCCAGCCTGGAGTGCAGTGGCAGGGTGGCTCACTGCAACCTCCATCTCCCGGGTTCAAGCCATTCTCCTGCCTCACCCTCCGTAGTAGCTGGGATTCAGGTGCACGCCATCACGCCCGGCTAATGTTTGTATTTTTAGTAGAGACAAGGTTTCACCATGTTGGTCAGGCTGATCTCGAAATCCTGACCTCAGGTAATCTGCCTGCCTCAGCCTCCCAAAGCGCTGAGATTACAGGCGTCATCCTCCGTGCCCAGCCCTGTTTATTTTTTAAATAAATGTTATTGTGTATGTTTGAGGTTTACAACATGATGTCATCTACCATCTTACATAGTTACATACATAGTTACATAGTTACGTTTTTGTGTGTGACAAGAGCAGCTAAAATCTACATATTTAACAAAAATTCCAAATACCATACAATTTTATTAGCAATAGTCCTCATGTTGTATATCAGACCTCTAGACCTGATCATCCTACATAGCTCCCCACTTATTTATTTCTGTTAAGAACCTATGCAGAGATGGCATCACGTCCGGATATGCCACCCCATTGATGCTAGGTCCATTCACGTGGCTAAGGCGGAAATGCTAATCTCTCCACTGAGAGGTGCCTATTTCCCTGTGTAACGAATATGCCACCTTGAGTGATGCCCTGAGACTGCAGGCATATCCTGCTCCTCAACAACCTTATACCTAATAGTTTTAGCATCCACTGGTGTCCTCGAGTGGATCAACTGGAACTCATGACATTGTGAGCTCCCTGGAAGCTGGGGCCTTGTCTGTCTGGATTCCAGGAGCCCTGGGTCCCTGGCATATAGCAGGCCCCGGTGACTCTGCACTGAGTGCACTGGTCTCTGCCCCTGCTCTCTTCCTAAACTGCTACCTGTTCACTCCCACTGGGATATACCTTGAATGCTGCTGTCAGCAGGTCACTTCACTGTCCAAAGACTTCATGTTGACTAAAAGATCACACTCAAACTCTCTCCTTCCATTGTCAATACCTTGTGAAGTCCCAGGTCTCCCACCATCGCTCTGTCACATAAACTCATGAAAGTGCCATCCCAGCTAAACCTATTTACTATAGCTGTGTTTACACTATTTACTCAGCTCGACAGCCCTTCCCATCTAGTCAAATATTCCCCATTCTTCAAAGCCCAGTTCAATCCCTACTGCTTCTTTAAAGTGGTTCCGCCCGCCTGTAAGACAAAGTGATTTTCACCTCCAGCCATTCATTGGTAATTGATCCTACTGACTTAAGATGTCTTTTGTAAAGTTTTAGGTTGCTATTTGACTCTTGGGTTCCTTGCTGCATCTTGCAGAAAAGAACTGTTTTCTATCTCTTGCATTTTCCCAGTAGTGGCTTAATGCAGCCTACAGGGTTGCTCAACCCATTGGTTTTGGTCAGTTCATCTCTGTTATGACTGTCCTCTTACCTCTCTCTTCCGGAGAGCCAGTGATTTAAATTCTAGGAGTTTAAGATCACAGCAATAGTATCAGCTAGGATGTTTACAGATCTTTCCCAGTGCTCAGCACATGTGCCACCATCCTAAGTGCTTTATGTATACTAACTCATTTAATGCTCATAACAACAATCTTTCTTCTATGGAACAGCACAGAGGAATCTATGGTCTTACGTTTTCCAGAGTTGATGCTGACAGTTCATGGAAAGAATAAACAGATATTTTCCATTTTCTGGGTGAGACTCATCTTTTGAGATGTGTGGAATAACTTTCCTCTGGTTCAAAAACTTGGAAAAACAACCAAAATGTCCATTCTGTCTCTCTTGGTAATTTTTTTTTTTTTTTTGGAGACGGAGTTTCGCTCTTGTTACCCAGGCTGGAGTGCAATGGCGCGATCTCAGCTCACCGCAACCTCTGCCTCCTGGGTTCAGGCAATTCTCCTGCCTCAGCCTCCTGAGTAGCTGGGATTACAGGCACGCGCCACCATGCCCAGCTAATTTTTTGTAGTTTTAGTAGAGACGGGGTTTCACCGTGTTGACCAGGATGGTCTCGATCTCTTGACCTCGTGATCCACCCGCCTCGGCCTCCCAAAGTGCTGGGATTACAGGCGTGAGCCACCGCGCCCGGCCTCTCTTGGTAATTTCTAGAGTTGCCAAGTGATAGTAATTGCCAATATTTACTGAGCCCTTATTATATGTTAGATGTTGTGTTGAGCAGAATTCTCTCCTGCCTCTACCTTATAAGTTCTCTAAGGTGTGCTCCAGCACTTCAGGGTAAGAAATAGATGAAGAACAGGTAGCCAGCAGCAAAGAGAGGGCTCTTATGGAGGTGTGTGTTGTTCATTTTCTCAGGGGATTGTTAAATACCAAGTGGCTTCACTTAAACATGCTCCTGGATCCTCGGGACCCGAACACAGCGGTGTCCCACCAGCAACTATGTGGAGTCCTCTTGAGATATTAAACTTATTTGGAGGCTGAGCCTCTTGGCACTTTGGGAAAATGACCTAAATATGATGACGATTAAACTCTAAATGATGATTACAGTGATATTAATAGTGCTTTAGGGAGCTTTGGCTATATGCAGAACATTTCATCACTGTTGCTAAAACGGTACATGTTTCGCTCTGAAATCGGATTATTTTTATGACATCAGCATTATCACAGATCCCTAGGTTTAGGAATTTGCTTTCTAAATGAAACTCTATGACCAGGCATATGAAAGTGACAAGCAAAAGATGCAAGGTTAAGCCTTGGTGGACATTCTCCATACTCTGAAATGTGAACCTAGCCTGGTTGAGCAGGGCTCCTTTGGAAGAGAGGGTGGGGGTTTCCAGGAGCAGGGCTGTGTGCTCTGCACAGCAAAGGTTGTGTATCACTGCATGGAGATAGTCACAGCCTTCCTAACCAAGCCCAGGGGTCGGGGCCAGACATGAAGCTACTAGTGGTTACAATGATTCACACCATTCAGATTCCAGCCTCCTTCCTATGCCTTCAGGGAGATTATGATCTTATCGTGAAAACCTGACCCATATAAAGTAAATCGTTCTCACGTTTCTAGGACAATTCCTGAGTCCCCATCCCATGAGTTCTAATTCACATCGATGGGCACAGTGAATCATTATAGGACAGGCACAGGATTCTTGCAGATTACAGACCTCTTCCAAGAAACTGGATGCTGCAAGAGAAGATCTGGCTCCAGAGATCACAACTGTAAACCTAGAGCTTCTGGGGCCTTCTTTGTCCTCTATACATATGTTCAACAAGACTTGTTTCTGCTAACACAGAAAATGCCGTGGACTTGGTACACAGAAGTGCAAATCTGTCCCTTGTTCTGCTTGTCCCTAATTTTCCTCTTTGTTTCTGGTACTACCAGGTGTTGCTGGCCTTGTTTTGTTTTACTGCTGTCTTTGCCAGACAGATGTAAAATACCCCCTAAAAAGTTGACTGGACAGCACCACACTAACATAAATGGTCTGAACTATAACATGAGTAAAGCAAAGTGAAATTCTGCCAGTTCTATCCATTAATTATCTCTCGATCCCTTCTCCTCTCTCTGCCCCAATTTGCACCACCTACAGCCATGCCCTATTACCTCTTCCCTGTACTACTGCCTCCTAATTGGTCTTACAGTCTATGAGTTCTTTGATGCTTCAATCTCATTCTCTATACCACCGTTGGAATTGTGGATCTTTCTAAAATGTTAATCTAACCACATTTCCTCTTATGATTAAAATCCTTCAACAGCTCTCCTTTGTTCTCAGTAAAGCCCATGAATCTAAGAACCTGCATGATTTAGCCTCTCCCTGAACATCCTGTGCAATCTCCATAGAGAATATTCTTCTTTACAAACTTTACCTTGGAGCCATTTCTAAGGTCATGTAAGCAGTAAGTTTTAGTTTTGAAAATGCCTCCCAAAAACATATTGGTTAGGTATATGATGACTCAGGCATATAATGGAACACTATGTGAAAAACCAAAGGTGGCATAGTCGATGTAATCGTTATGTCAAAGCAGTGTGGTGTGGAGGCAATTTTATTCGTCCTTTATGATTCTGTATGTTGTTGCAATGCTTACAATGAACAGATTTTAAAATTAGTGGAAACAGGCTAGGCGCGGTGGCTCACACCTGTAATCCCAGCACTTTG